CGCTCTGTATTCACCTGCAGTGGTGCAAACATTCAGACTGACAGGCAGACTGATGGGATGTCTGTCTGTCTGTCTGCAGCTTTGCACAACACTGCAGAGAGGTCACCTGTTAACTGATCTGATTAACAGGACACTTTGCAAATCACCTTGTTAAAGAGATGCAAAGCAGCAGCTGATCATTTTACTGGAGAGCTATTAAAAATAAAACAGCAGGAGCTTTAGTGGATTCAAATAGACCTTCAATGTGGTTTTTACTTATCAAAGCCAGATGAATAGTGTCTTTGTCCGGCTGAGGAACTGCTTTGCATGAAGCTTCTGTGATGCTACCGGTTCATCCTTTATCGGCACTGCAGCATTTTATGCATCATGACTGACATGCTCTGTATGACTCTGTGTGCTTTAAGAAATCATGAGCAAAGTCTCAGATACATTTCTATAACCCTGACAAAATATGTAATAGCAGCTAACTATATTATAAAAAAATGTGTTTATTCTAACACTCTAAAAAACAGACATTTTGTGTATTGTGTATATCTATAGACGGGTGACAAATCAAAGGAAAAACCAACATTATGTGCCGTTGTAAGGTGTTGGACCACCACGAGCCACCAGAACATTAATTCTACGAAGTCTACAAGTCTACACAGTTTTGATGATGGTGGTGAAGAGCGCTGTCTAACAAAATCTCCCATAGGTGTTCAACTGAGTCAAGATCTGGTGACTGTGAAGGTTACATAATTTTCATGCTCATCAAATCATTCACTGACCCCACATGCTCTATATATGGGGGCATTGTCATCCTGTTTCTCCATTCATTTATACAGGTTTTTCCTTTAAAGGTCCATATTTAACATTTTTCTAGCGTTTTATTTGAAGTGTTGATCAATAAGAAGATAAATTTGTGGTTTTATGAAGCAAAAACCATCTCAATGTAGTTTTACATCTCCTCTCTCAGGCTTCTCTCGGGAGCTCTAGTAACAACAGGTCAGTGGACCAATCAGAAGAGAAGATGCTCTGAGGCTCTCCTCTGATTGGCTGACTGTTTTCTGAGTGATCCAATAAAAATATAGCAGGTTTCAGGTAAACACTCAGAGAAACCAAATCCTGCAAAGTTGGATAGTGGGTCCAGGTGGATGTGGCTTGAGGCATGGCTGAGGGTGGTGGCTGCTTTGTTGTGACATCACAAAGTTACAGAAGTCCTGACAGCTGGTTTTAAGGCTCAGTTTCTGAATACAGGGCTTTGTGCATTTCTCTGTGGACTGAGCACTTTGATACTTTCACAGTATTAATATAGAACCTAGACCTGTTTTATAATCAAAGAACACATGGAAATCTCACTTAATACAATACAGTGCAGCAAATAAGCTTGTATATGGAAGGCATTTTGCATTTGATGACTAAAGCATGAAACTTTCTCCAGTGTTTCTATAAACCATGAAGTTTATTTTCAGACGTGGAGGCATTTCAGATGTGACCTCTGGGACAGGGCAGAGCCCCCGGAGTAACAAGTGTTCACTAATGTGCCAGCTAGTCATGTGATTCCATAGAACACACAGCAGAAGATGTCAGTGTTTTTAATGAGCTACAGCTACCTTAACACCTGGAAATGGTGGGGTCTGCAGCCCCCCTGCAAAATTGGTGCTCTAAGCAAAGTAATGATACATGGCCACAGCAGCAAATACGCATCTTTATGCAATTTCAGCAAAGATAGACATGATTATAATGGAGAAATGGGGCAAAAACTGGAAAAATTCAATGCTTAGGTCAATGACCTCCCAAGATCAGTAGAGGTCAGATACAAATTGCCTCCACGTCTGAAATAAAACCTTGGGGTCTGTAGGTTACACGCTGAAACTTTCATGCTTTAGTCACAAAATGCACAATTGTTTTGCCTACCTGCCCCACTAATATAGGACTTTTGTCACTCATCTGTATATCTCTATAAGTCTAGTGAGTGAGAGGAACTGCAGAGAGGTCAGAGTTCAGGCTGAAAAACCATTTGTTACCCTCTCCGGAAAAGTCTTTTACTGTTTCTGGTTTTCCTCAAAACACCAACTAACTAGAAAGAGGTGAGACTGGGCGTGTCCACACAGGCCAAAAACATGATTACCAGTCCAGACTCACACCAGCCATGGTGACAGTAATAAAACAGCAACACAGGCTTTGTTTCTTACAACATGTGCCCAGAGCCCAGCCTCATAGCTGGAATGTACGGCAGGGAGTCTGGTGTTTACTGAGCATGCCCCAACAGGTAGGCCTAGTTTAAAGTAAAGAGTGAGACGGACTGGAAAGACTCACCGTGTGCTCTAAAGTTGGTGTTTGGTTCCTTATTGGCTGGTTCTGACCAAAACTAAGAAAGGAAGCCCCTTTTTAGGTTGCTCCTCTAACTTTAGGGCTCACGCTGGAAGTGACTATCGCTGATATTAGAGCTGCTGGCATTTACATGTGTGCTTAAGCAGCTTCGCTTTGACTTCATGCAGCGCAGTCGGGTCGTGTAATAGTTATCTATGTGCAAAACACTGAATCAGGTTAAACAACTTTGTCATGGTGGCGATGAGGTTAAAACCAGTGTGTTGTTTCATTCAATACACAGTGTGAAGTTTAATTGTACTGTTCATGATACAGGCCTGTTCGGACTTTAACTTACGGTGGAAACGCTTTACTATAGTTCACGGGTGCTTGCATCTGTCTGAAGGTGCTGAGTGACTCGATGCAGCTGACTTAATGATTACAATGACTCCTTGTGCACGACGATCCTTCCTCCCAATCATTTAAAGCACAATTACAGATAATTTAGCCATACTCTACATTAGCTTCAAGCTGCCAAAACCTAAAAGCTCAAATAGCATTATAATTATATGTGCATGTAGAACCACACGCCTGCATATGTATGTGTTTGAAAATTAGGTCCAGCTAGGGTAACGTCTTGTCTTTGTGGATTAAATCTTCCATATGCAAAAGAATGTGGATGATATCCTGGTTAATCATAAGTTTTAGTTTCCCTAAAGTTAAATGAAATAATGTAATAATGTGGATTTATCGACAATAATATGCAGTTATACTGTTTGTTTCTTCGTTATGTAATAGAAAAACATAAAAAAATATATATTTCCAGTAAATTATAGAATTACCTGTAAATTTTTTTTGAAATGAGAACTTCATTGATACGGTCACAAGGGAATCATTTGTGTGTGAATCTTTATCAATAATTTACGCTTGATCCACAGTCCGCAGATCCGCACCTCGTGCCTTTGCAGTCAGCAGGATTCAAACAAGCCTGATCACGTTCGCTGCAGCAGCCGTTAGTTATCACTGAATCGCTGTAGTTTTGTATTTTAATCTCAACATCTCCGAGTTCCCTGTTCATTCTGATCCTCTGTGTCTTGAGTCTAAATAAAGCACACTGAATGTGAGATCACACACACGCATGCATGCACATAACCACAAAAATGCAACTTGACAAATTAAGGCAGCGAAGTGACTTCCCTGACCTGTACTGCAAAATGCAAATGTAAATATGCCTGCCAATTAAAGCTTTCGTGCGTGATTTGCATTCAACGTGTCATGTGGTGAACAAAGTTTGTAAGCAGACCAATCATTCCTACCATTTTGATTCTAGTACACCAAGCCCCAAAGCTGTCGCTCACAACGTGACACAAAAATGGATTACATCATGTTTTCACGTCCTCTGGCATGTCTCTGCTCTCAGCGTCTCAACACAACGACGCATGAGTCACGCCGTCTCAACAAGAAACTTTAACAGAAGAAAAAAAAGCAGTTCTCCACCCTGATGAAACAAACATTCAAACACACCGCAGCATCCTCCATAATACCGTCGATTCACGAACACAATGATGGCACGCTCACACAAATAAAAGCTGGGGAGAAAGACCTTTGACATGAAGATGTCATTGAAAATGGAAAAGCAGAAACTGATGACATGTTGTAATGTGACCAGCTTTATTTTTAGATTTCTTTTTTCCACATAGTTCGTCATGGTTCTTTAATCTTCTTGCCAAACACCCTCTACAGAAGATGTTGTCACTGTGCACATTAACCAGCAGAATCTACTTTGCTGTTCTTTCGTGGTGTTAAGAAACCCAACACATACTTCAAATATTTCACAATAAAAGCATTCCACAAAAGGAAAGGGATTTGGGCTCAAATAAAGGGTTATTCTGAACGCTGATTAATCTGTCTATTGTTGGTCTGATTAATTGATTATTTGTGGTAATAGTGTCCATCACAGTGTCCGAGACGACATCTTGAAAATGATATTCAATTAGCAATGATTGAAAACAGCAAAAAGCAGCAAAACATCCCACTTAGGGGGCTGGAGCCAGAGAATTTGACATTTTTGTTTTATTTAATTAATCTTTGTGTCTGTTGACGTGTCAGTTATTCAACCAATGGCTTCAGCACTGGAAGGGATTATACTCAGAACGTCTGGAGGGGTTTTATTGTGAAACACAAGGAGAAAGTGTTGAATTTGCATAAACAGCAAATAGCAAATTAGAAAACAGAGAGATTCTTACTAAATATGATCAAATATACTGTGCAAGCCTGTCTCTAATAGTCGCCTGTCTCAAACGAGTCAGGTTCTGTCTTTTGTTGAGTCCTTGCCAGCTACTTTAGTGCTTCAGTTTCTGTCTTGGCTGTGAAACTCTTAACATTTGTATCTCTGATCCAAACAACATGTCACAGTGTAACCAAATCCAAATACATATCATTCCTACAGCAGCATCTCATATTCACAGCTCAACCAGCTCACTCCGATGGCATGTAAACGCCTCACACTGCGACACAAACACACACACACACACACACACACACACACACACACACACACCCTTGTCTGAATCACCAACAAAGGTAAAGAGACATCATTGTCCAGGATAGATGTCGGGGACCTTTTTTGTCTGTATCATTGCTTCACTTCTACTCATTGTAAGCAGAACTGAAGTCATTGTGCGTGTGCTAATGCGTGTGTATATTGTTACCATTGTTACTGTGTCTGACACAGTCCTGCAGCACGGCGTGCCACTTCTTCTGCTCCTTCTCTGTCATCACACAGAAGTAGTGGTGACGGGCGTACGGATGCCACAGGATGAGCGGGAACTGGGTCGCACACTTGATAAACGGATTACTGCCCATTTTGGCCTTGATGCCTACGACAAGTCACATGACAGAACAAGAATGAGAAACTAGAGGGTTTAGAGAGTGAATTTCACACAAGTAGGAAAAACAGCCAGCTGATGAATAAATAAAACAGCTGAGAGAGTCTGTAGATATTCACACTGTTTCTTTCTTACCTGGCAGGCTGGTATTAATCAGCTCTATGTACTCCTCCATTGAGGTCAGGGCCTTGTACCCAGCACAGTTGATGGTTACTTTTGGGTGCAGCCCCCGTTCATGTGCCTGTTAGAGAGATGGCAAACACACACTTAGCTGTTTTAACGTAAGCGCCCGAATCGCCTGATGGGACAGCAGTTTGTTCCAGTAAGAGAAAACTCACTGTTTTGCTCTCGTAGAGGTTGATGGTGTAGCTGTTTGGCACGGACACAAAGCGATTCCTCCACTTCCGATTCTCCTCCAGGTACTGAAACAGACTCCCTGAGAAGATCAAGCGGCCCGCCAGAGGGTCCTGAGGAGCCACACAGACACTCAGCACTAAGGCATCAAGCATTGCCATAGTTTATATGTCATTGTATCTTGTGATACGGAGCACAACAGGTTCGTACATGTTTCATTAATGAGATCAGTGATAATGAGACGAGATAATTACTCTCACATTTTCATATTGTTCTCAGTGAGATCACCTTTAACTATGCAAGAGACTTGAAGCCTAATTTTTTAAACACGCGAGGTGGAGATGTTTACCCAGAAACACACAAGTGTTTACACACGGATGCACACCACCCACTTTGTTTTTAGATTTCCTGTCCTAGATCAAATAATCCTGTTACTCAGACTCAGCTCAGAGAGGAAGGGAAGAACGAGGCAGACGGAGGGGCGAGGCGGAGCTGAAACATGATGTTTGACAGCAGACTGACTGCTGTTTGTTGGTTTGCTACAAAATGTTAAAGCACCTGATTTGATGTGCATGAGCGACTGAGTCACTTGTGATTATCTTCAAGTGGAGCAGAAAGAAAGTGATGATCTTGCACAGGATTATGCGAAGGTTTTCTCTGAAAACATGTTATCAGTTTAAACAGTTTTCACCCGAACGTTTGGTTTTCTGCTGTAATGACACTGATCACCACACTAATGTTTGATCAGCTCAGAAATACTCCCAGCTTGAAAAAAAAGGAGAAAATGCAAATGAGGTGCTGATTACTATAGCAGGTGAAGAAACAAGGGGTTAAACTTCAGTGTTCATTGTGCAAATATTTAACAAATTAAGACAAATCTTTATGCCTCCACGCCGGCGACGGCTAGAGGGTTGTCTGTCCCTCCCGTTCTCGTGAAGGATGTCTCATGCCTTGAGGGAATTTCGTCAAATTTGGTGCATAAACATTCACCTGAACTCACTCAAGGATGAACAGAGTGTGTGATGTGTGTGAGAAACAGTCTCTAAGTGAAGACAGCAGGTTTCTCATTGGAAATTATTCACTGAAATAACACGTCAAAATAGAATATCAGAACTTCCATTTCCCAAAAAAAAAAAATACACTTTTATTAATTTCCCTCAGAGTCTTCACTACATATGTTATATGAGAAGGACTGGGTATCATTCAGAAACTTTCGATATCGGTACCAATACTGATACTGATACTGATACCTTGACTTCAATACCGAATACCGAATCTTAACAACACTTTTTACCAACACCAATGTCATCAAATTCATTTAAAGAAAAAGAAAATTCTAATAGCTATTAGGGTACAAATACTAGTTTTACTTTAGTTTTATTTTTAAGCTCGATCTCTTTACACTCTCCAACGTGTTCATGTAAATAAACAGCCAATCACCAGCATTATTAGATCTTGGTCCACGCGTACTGCCTGCTGATTGGCTCACTGACGCTGATGAGATTTTCTCATTTACTCCTTAGGTATTGAAACGACTACCAATGACTTGGTAGTGTGAAACTAATTCGGTCGGTATCGAGCTTCCTGGCCCTGTACGTGAGTCTGGATACTATGGTATACCTTTAAATCACCAAAGTAAGCACAGATAGATGAGCCCTAGCATGTGTCCTGTATGTGTGTTTGCGTTTGCGGACTGTTGGTTTACATGAGCATAATTTTGCGTTGGTGTCACAGGCACACACACAAGCAGCTGGCCTGCTCATAGTGAAGAAGACAGCAGATGAGCTGCAATAACAGAATTCCAAACAGCATCTCTGCTCATGTGTGAAATCTGCTCCACTTTCCCTCCAGTGACGGAAAACACGGACAAAAGTGAGACCTTCAGTCGAAAAAGACGAGAGGAATACAAAACTGCGCGCGGCGGAGCGGAGCGCTCGTTCATTAGGTGATGTACTGGTACATAGACCCAAGAATGAGCTCATTCATGCAGCGTGTATAACATCAGGCTCTGGTGGTCAAACAAAGCCCATATTGATGCAGCTTTGTTACACACAAGTCATTTAGCTACAAACAGCAGAGTGAATTTGTTCATGTTAGACACCAAAAGCATATTGTAAACACGGCGGAGAGGAAGATGGAGAAATTAAAGTTAAACTATAAACCTGCATAGCAAAGTTTAGATCCATGTTTTTAGGGGCGACCTGATGGCTGAATGGTTAGGGAGCATACAACTCAAATACCCTGAGCAGCGAGTCCCCAGTTAGACTCTCGACCGGCCAGACCATTTGCTGCATGTCATTCCCCTACTCTCTCCCTACACTTCCTGTCTGTCTCTATCAAATAAAAGCTGTAACTGCTCTATACTGTAAATGACAGCCAGCAATAATAGAAAAATTAGACGTGATAAAGTCGAAAGATAAACCGGAATTATTCTTTCACATCCAGTTTCATATGACATTAAAGACATGACAACAACTGTGTTTCAGAAATGAAAGAGATATTAAAGTCCATTCACAGACAGAGGCCACATCCTTTTTTATTATTATTATTGTTGATGTCTTTCATGCTTCTGTCCGACGAGCAGGTTTGAGTCTCTCTTTTATAACAGAGACACTGAACTTGCCTTTCTGTGAAGCAGCTGTGACTGCGTCCCTCCTCCTCCTTCTATCTCAAAGCGGACGCTGTTGAAGAGAGCGACGGCATACTGCTGCTCGTACACATCACTGAACTCCTTCATCACATCTCTGGTCCGAGCTGCGGGGGGGTGGGGGGGGGGCATAGACATGAGATAAACAAGATAAACGAATTATTACACGACTGACACAAACTGTCTCATGTTTTTTTTTTTTGTTTTTTATCGCACTTTTATTAAAATACAGTCGAGAGCAGACTGTTGTGTTCCACAGTTTGCGTTAACAAGGCCATGTTTTGGTACAGTGGAATTTATCAGTGCTGCAATTTAAATGTCTTTGTTAAACATTAACAGAGTGTGAGTGGAGAGCTGCAGTTCTCTTGTGAAGACACACTGTCTCTTTGGGATGGTGAGATGAAGGGTGTCGTATCAGCTCTTTATGAAAAGTGCCGTATAATAAAATTTCAAATGGGCCTTTTGGACAGTGAGTCCTGTGCAGCACCCAAAGACATACCTACCATGTAGCATCAGCACAAATCTCTCTCTATCACGGCTTCTGGTAAAAGTCATTAGTAAAACTTGATATAAGACATTTGAATGTAATTAATTCTTGGCAAACACTATGAATAAATATTGATGAGAGAGTTCTGAATGTTCTCTCTAGATTAAAATGTCCTGTTCATCTTGTTGTAGCTCTTCAGTGAATCATTAATGTTCAGATTGTGAAACATTAAACCCAAGACCACAAGTTTTTATAATTACACCACTGAATCAAATGGAAATACTGTAGATGTGCTGCCAAATTCAGCCTGAACCTCAAGTTATTATCGTTATAAATTTTGTGCATTTTATACTGTTGGTTGGACAAAAGGAGACTGCTATTGTTCACCGTTTTTTTAACATGAAATGATTATTCAATAATGAAAATAATTGTTAGTTGCAGTCCCAGTTTGAAGTCGGAGCAGAATCTCCCAGAAGGGATCAGTTAAATTGAATCATCGTTTTTTCCCCAAATCCTTTCACTGCCTGACTCAGCATTTCTTTTCCACCGCTCTCTGCAACAAGCATCCTAATAAATTGTGCAAGAACATGCAGGCGGGGACATGAGCTTTTCCCACATTCCAGTGCTGGAAAAAAAAAAGAAAAAGAAAAGAAAAAAAAAAAAAAGTGAGTTTGCGAGCCGATCAGCGTGTTTGACTCCGTCAGCAGCAGACAGTGTTGACTATGATCTGTTTATGGAAGGGACGACACAGGAAGGAGGGAGCCTGGCCTGCAGTGGGAGAGCAGGAAGGAAAGAGCTGACAGGACAGGACAGACAGAGAGGGAATGTGGAGGAGACGACGGGACAGGGACACACCAACCTATTAAAAACACCATGTCATACCAGGAGGAGTAGAGTGGACAGGTTAGAGGAGCACAGGAAGAGAGCGAGACGTCTGACTTCTCTTAAAATGGAAAGGGTTTTGCAGAAAAATGTTAATAATGCTCAAATTAAGATGCTGAAAAAAAAAGAAGCACTGTTTTGGTATCTGCGCCAAAATAGTTTTATCCTGGCTGATAGATGCCTATGAGATGGAGAAATTGCTCTATGAAATGTATCTAGAGCTCTCAGCGCAGTGTGCAGGATTTTTGGTTTCAAATCACTTTGTCACTTTTTTTTTTTTATTTTCAATTGTGGATATCTGACAAAAACTCTCTCTGTCCTGTGTAAACTTCCACCAGATAAGTGACGGTTAATGGGGCCTCCACTCCGAACATGGAAAGAGTTGGTACTTTCCACTGGTCGTCTTGCTCTGCCAAAGTCAGCAGCCTGGGAAGCTGTGCACGGACAGCCTTTTAGGCACTTGGAAATTGGAATTTGGGAACAAAGACCACATCATAAAACACACACCCAGTCCTCTGTTTCAACCTGTGAAGGCATGTTAAAAAGGTTCAACTGTATCCCTCTATCTGCTCCAGCACATATTCTCCATCTCCTTGTGCTCTGCTGATGGCGCTCTGTCAATGAGGCCGTTCCTCCCGCTAAAAATGCCAACATCATGGTGGTGCTGCAGGAAAAGTCAGTAGGATTCATCCTCTTGGGACCACGAGTGTCTGTACAAAATGTCATAGCAGACCGTGACTGACCAACCATCCTTTGACCCAAACAAAAAAAAAATACCTCAATCTCAATATACAGTCATGTAATCTACTAACCGACCGACAGGAATGCAGCACGAAATGATGCGTTCATTTTATGGCGCCCGCTTTGGACGTTTTACTCTTGTGTATTGACTTGTGTTGTACGACTCGGTAGGTGTTATCATCATAGACTCTACACACGTCAAAACTGATGTCGCACTATAAGTTTATTATATCCATGTCGTACAGTGTGGCCTCGAATAAACTGATAATACTGCTGAAATCTCACAGTATGTAGGCGCCTTTAGAGGCCTGGAAGAGAGCATGTTTAACATGGTGTATATCTTCACATTACATTGAATAAATCTCAGACAATATTATATTGATTTATTGCCCACTTGTACCTGCCAGGACCATAAACACAAACCACCACTACTCATGAGATTGTATGTTCAAATTCAACTATGAAGCACAGGAGTAGATACTTCATTTCCTTTGAATATGGACAGAAAACACAGAACATGTTTCAGCCTTTCAGAAACAAACCCTCATTGGGAAAACCCACTGAGTTGACGACGGAAGCTAACTAGCAGAGGAGGCTGAACTTCATCCGTCTTTCGGGGGTTATGACTGTCTCACTTGAATACTGTATATCTCTGTAGTCCACCAGCACCTGCGCTACACAAAACAGTGTACAAGCTGCATCAACTGTAACACTTCTGACTGGAAAACCAAGATCAGTTTGTGTTGAAGCAGACGGAGTAGCATTTTAGCCAAATAACCTGTCTTCAGAAATGTTACTTATCATCAAAGGCATGACTAAGATGCTGACATAAGCTGACGCCTCATGTCTTCTGCATCATTCACTCCCTGCGCTTTCTTTCTTGTTCTGCAAGATCTTCCTTACAACTGAAACCGGCAGCGTTAGTGTGTGGAAAAACGAGCAGATGACCTCGTCTCTCTTAGGCAGGGATGATGGGACATAAACTGTGTAGGTGACCACCACAGTTCTGATTTGCATTTGTATGTGTATGTGCATCTCTGTTGTGTAGGCTCACACGAGGGAGGAGATCATTTTGTGAGAATGTGCTTAGGCAGCGAGGATGAAGAAATCACCTTGCAGGGAGGTGCACAGTCCAAACAGAACTCCCAGTGAAGAAATGCTGAGTAGTCTTCACACACACACACACACACACACACACACACACACACACACACACACACACACACACACAGACCATGTGCACACCTAAAACCAAAGAAGATTTGTACCTTGTACTTTAAAGGACATGCTATTCATCCATACGTGCAAAGGAGACAACAAACGATCTTCAGAGAGACGACACAGAGGGAGGGTGTGTGAGACCCAGACAGCAGTTTCAGCTATTAATCCTGCGACATGTTTGTACCTGCTTTACCTCTTCAGCTTCACCTAAAACCTCCTCCTCTGCCTCCTCCTCTGACTCAACTCCATATGTATCTGGTTCTTAAAAGACTGAGAAGCAAGAAATGTTGCACAATTTTAGGTATTCTAGCTGAAAACTTAAAATGATGGTGCTTCTGTTTTCAGCTGTTCAGAAGTTTATGTTTTTATTGTGTAATATAAACGAGCCACAGATTTCCCAAGTAGGCCAAACTTTTCTCTTGTCATTAAAAATAGCCGCCAACAAAATTTCCCAGAGACCAATTCGACATCTTCGCATAGCAGGTTTTGTCTGATCAGCAGTTTAAAAGTCAAAGATATATAATTTTTTTCTAATGATATAAAACGGAGAAAAAGCAACAAATCCTCACATTTTAGAAAGATAGAACCAGAGAATATTCCACATTTGTCCTTGATTTAAATGAGTCTTTATTTCGATCATTTCACTAATACTACTGCTGCTGCACTGTTTCAACAATTCTGGGCCCAGACTAGTCAAATACACAATAACAAACACAACTGATGAAACCAGAGAAACAAACCATAACCACATGTGGCAGCCTCTAACCCTGTTATTCTTCCTGTTTTCAACTATTTCTGAGAGTGTTTCTCCGTCTCATTCACAAAAAGAAGCAACAACAAACAAACTGAGTGTCTGGACCTCAAGAACATAATCTTTGGTTTCTGGAAGTGGTTTCTTCATGCAAGTGCCAGCGCACACACACACACACACACACACACACACACACACACACACATTTACAATCCTGAAGTTGTAGGAACATCCTATCCCCGCCTAAAGTGACAGTTCCTGGAAAGCACGAGAGGATCTGAACACCAACTCAAACATAAAAAAACATGCCAGTCTTGTCCCTTCTCCTGAGTTACTCTGAACCTGTGATTCATTGTCAAACTGCTTCTAGCGATGACAGTCTTATAATTCCAAGGAAGCATCTACACATCCCTGCACTCTTCCTCTGCCTCCCTCTGCTCCCACTGCCTTGCTGAAATAATCACACAGACCTGCACAGTGCACAGTGGGAGGCTGGAGCAATCTGAGACCTAAATAGCAGCCAGTCCCAAACTTATACAAACATGCTTCCCTTTGGGAAACCTACTTATTATCTCTGAGAAACAGGCCCGCAGCAGAGCTGGGATTCAGAGGAGCTCTTTGAGTGGAGCAGAGCAACAATACACTGTTATAAATGAGAGGAGAACAGGCCAGGGAGAAGTCATTCAACACATATTACAGTCAGACTTTATGCGCAATTCCTGCACAGAGGGTTTCAGTGGATTTCTCCCCTTAGGTTAGACAGACAGCTCAGTTTAAAGGAAGTTTGGTTTAATCTAAAATAGAGTTCACTCCAACACATAAGCATGAGTTTTACAGGCTGTGATTCAGGAAATTCTGGCAAAAAGAGCGTGTGGGGATATATCTCTACCGCGGGACATTAAAACTTAATAAAGTTGTTACAAACTGTATAGACATTTCAGTGCTCTTTTAGATATGATCAAAATAACTTGAACAACTTGAAGCCACTTGAGTGTGTGACAAACTGTCTGCACACAGCTCAGACTCCTCTCTCTTACCTGTAATCATCTCCCGCCTGTTCTCATCCAGGTGCGAGGAAACCACGTCCCCCATGGTTCCAGGAGAGCCTAACAGATCCTGCAGGTATCCGAGCTGCTCACAGATTGTACTCCAGGTGGAAACAGGGCTTTGGTGATACTCGCAGCAGTCTCAGATATCCGTCCTGAGCCGCTGAGAAAGCACTTCACTGTCCTGCTGGGAGGCGCACGGCTCTCTCTTCGCTCCCGCTCTCTCTAATGGGGGAGGAGGCGGACTGAGGCGAGGCGGCGACTCCCTCGCCGGTGAGGAGGAGGTGAACGCTGGTCTGTTTCACAGCGGCAGGACACACCCTCTGGGAGTCATCACTGGTCCAACGTGTTCAGTCGGCCCTGCCAAGGGTGTGGCCAGAACCAGGAGCTTACAGTAATAATAAAATACATTCAATATTTACTGTGCGTGTGATTGTGATTTTTTTTTTTTATTATTTGGCGTTAAGTTTATAATCCATGAAGGTGGCATTAAAAACACCGTAATGGTAATGGTGTCCGTAATGGTGTGCCTTATTTTGAAATGATTCTCCATCCTGGATTTAATTGATTTTAATAAAGGCCATGGAGGCCAAAATGAGTTGATTTCTATTAGAGGTTCTGCCCAGTGAGGAAAAGGGTTTATCCATGATTCCCGGTGTTGGTGTGTTCCTCCATGAAGGTAAATGCTGCCCCCGTGTGGACTGTTTGATAGTGAAACGGCTCTGTATTAGGCCAATAAATGTTTTAAAAAAATATGCTAAAGCTCAGAGTAGATAGTTGTGAAATAGCTCTACATTTAATAGGAGACCAAGTGCACTATACTCATAATGTCCAATGGTCCTTTAAAACATTTAAAGTGTCCAAAATCAAATTCAATGTGAAAGTCACCAAATTAATCTAATATTCAGATAAACTATAGGCAATCAGTGAGTTAGGAGTTCATTGTTTACTGTCTCCATTTGGCAACAGCTGCTCTGGTCCATATGAAGAAGGTGCATTAATTAATCAACTATTCTTTAAACTTATACAATAGCCTTGACATTAAAGCTATAATATGTAACTTTTCAACATTAAAATGTTTAAAAATCATTACACCTATGTCATATATTTTTTGAGTTGTGTACTTACATTATCCCAAATGTTTCCAGCAATTCTCAAACCAGAGAACTACGTGATTTCTATCATGGTAATGGTCTGTTTCATTTGCTCGGCTGTCAGTGACGTCGCGTGCCCTATGCACATGCATTTGTGGGCATTGTAGTTGCCTGGCAGAAGCTCAAAATGTACTTTTATCTAGTTGTAAGCCACATACACTTTTTACACCAACTATATATCTTAACCAGATGGAGGATTTTAGTCAGCTCAGCTCCCAGCTGCTGGAGACTTCCTGTGTCCGCAGAAGAGCTTGGGCAAATCACTCAATTTTTAAAAAGAAAAGTGAACCTGCTTTATTCATTCACTGGTTTTAATCCTCTGGTCCGTATGTTATGGAGAGGAGGACATCCCTGCGGATAATTCGGCTTCCGGTAAAAACTTCAGTATTGATTTCCTGAAAGACTGAGCTTTAGGGTAATAATGGTGAAGACAACAACTCCCATCATCCCATGCTGTTTCATTCACCTCTTTGTTATTGTTTTGATTAAGAGACTCCTAGCAGCAGAAGTTACATACTGTGCCTTTAACATGAGTCAGCTCCACTGGTGCTGAAACAGTCATAACTTCATTAGCTGATCAACATTCAATTAATTGGCAATTTCAATGAACGATTGCAGTGATAAAGCAAAGTTCTAATCTCACTGATTTCAGTCTGTCTGGTACCAGGATGTGGTGCTTTTCTGTGTTTCACATCACTATTTTGGACATTGTTCAAGAAAAATAGGGGTTTTGAAGACAGTCTTGGGTTGTGGGAACTTATCAGGAATAAAAACAATAATTACAGCAGCCATATCTCCACCCATTAAAACAGTGTCAGTAATTACCAAAAACAAGAAAAACCAAACAAATGACATATAGAGACGCTTATAGTGATTGTTTTCACACCCTCTGGTATTTAAAGCAAATACATACTAACTTATATTCACTCGATGAATGGCACGTTTCTAGAAAGTAGGCTCTAACATCTCATCTTTTATGATGGCTGAACATAGGATAGGCTAAATTAAGTTGGGGACTTAAGAACAAGTAGAAGGCTGTAGATGGTGTTTTGTTAATAACACAGACCTAATCCAGGACGGCTGCAGTAAATAGTTCAAGCTAATAAAACGCAGTCGCAGCCAAACGTCCAATACCACCAACGAGGGGATGATGCGGAAGGATACGCAGTGACGTTTCCTACTGGAGGCTCCTCCGCAGCGATGTGAGGTGAGCGGAGAGAAGGGGGAGAGGAAGAGAGAGAGAGAGAGAGAGAGAGAGAGGGAGAGAGAGAGGGAGGAAGCAGAGGGAGATCACTCGGTCCAGCACTCAGCAGCATCATGGCACCTATCGGATTAAAGGCGGTGGTCGGCGAAAGTAAGATCATTTGTTTTATTATTGTTTTATTCTAAATGTGGTGAGGTGTGTGTGCAAATGCGGCAGTGTTTGTGTGTGTTATTTTAGCAGGATGCGGACGGCTGGTAGTACATCTAGGTGATGATGAAGGTGGTGCTGTTGGTGCTTCATTGCATCCTATTGTAAAACACAGCCGTGTAGTAAGGGAGCTGTAGGTAATCTGCAGAGGCTGGGTTGTCACACCGGGCTGCTGCGGCGCGGATGCGCAATTGTATTTCAGGCTGCGGAGACCTGAAAAAGGCTCTAACAAGCGGTGATTGGCCCACTGATAGAAAATGTAGGCAGCATTCTCCATGAGGATGCAAAAAGCCTGGAGGGAAAGGCAGCCCACATACGCCCTTTTAGCCTCAATCAGCGTTTATTTCAGGAATAACCTGCGCTGCCTCGGAGCTGCATCATAAACCGTGTTTTTGCATGAATATTGTGCCACACGATGCTGCAGACTCACGCCTTGGCTATAGCTAATCATAGCCAATAATCTAATGCAATGCTATTGATTATAATGTGATAGGACATTAACACTTTCCATCCGTGGGATTCCCTGGTTTCAGCAGTGCCTCACCCCCCTGATGGAGCATGAATCGGTTGCGTAAAACACCCTTCCTCCACCGGAGCGCCTCACTGCTGAAACGAACTGCTGTCAGCTGTGGTTCACGTTAATGGCGGATTGTATCCAAGAGGAAAGTTGGCTTGAAAGGCCGCTACCCGAGAAATTCCGCATTATCTGTACACGAGCTACCGTCCACTAACGACCAGTGAATGCCCTTTCATCATCATCATCACCACCACCATCATCATCATCATCATCATGCCCTTTCCTGGTGTTGCGCCAGTCTGTGTAATCCTGCGTCGTTAGGACGCTGTGGACGCGACTGTCCAGTGTCTGATTTGGTCATGAAGAATCATTTATTGCGGTGTCGGTGTGTGGGGCTGATGCAGGCCTGAACATGGAGGCGCAGCTCCATTCTCCTCAGGAGGGTCAACTGGGTGCAAGTGTTGGTGGTCGTGATAATGTCAGACAGGCCTTCACAGTAAAGCCTCACAGAGACCACTCGGTGTGAAGGCACGTATCTGATATATAAGTGATGGTTGCCGTGATTTCTTCAGCTGCATGTTTTCCTAATTTTTTGGTAACGTGCCCTGCCCGTGCTGCAGGATCTGCTTCACTTGATATCTGGTGTTCGTCTTATTGATTCGGTTTCACATTTCACTAACTCACATCCACACGGCCTCTCTGTAGTAATGTCTCACTCCCTGTCAGTGAGAATAGCCTATTGAATCTGTACATCTCCCAAATCTCATCAGGCTCATTGGTGTTTCATTTGTCATGGGTACTGCTGCAAATTTTTAGGCCCCCACCCCCACACTGATACACATCCACCTCCTTCGTCTCACACACACACACACACACACACACACACACACACACACACACACACACACACACACTGCTGTGATATGATATGATGGAGGGTGAAAAGGTTTGTGCTCTGGCCAGGAATCAGACCTCCCACATGCGAGCAAGACCTTATCCTCAACACCAATTATTACAACCCCCCCCCCCCCCGCCCCCCCACCCCCCCCAAAAAAAAAAATGCAAATTCACTTTGAAGCCAAAAGTATAAAATTATATAATAAATATAATGAAATATTGTTATGATTAGCTGTGAATGAGCAGTGCTGGAGGATATGAAAAAATATTATAAAAGTATTATAATGTCACACCATGTAAAAAAAAAAAGAAGAAATTATATAGTGCCTGTGATTTGAAAAACCCATTCACATGTCTCAACCAAAAACTCTATCAACTTATTTTGCTCATTTGTAATTTTTACCAATGAAATTGTGTAAAACATGATATGATCATATTGTCATGATAAGAATTATTGGCCCGTCATGCTGTGGAGTTAGAGCAGATCTTTTAATAGATGACTGGGGAATAGTGTTTGGCCTAGTGCTATATTGTAGTTGAGAATTAGAATTAATGGGAGCACAGACCTGCATTTTTATGCATCACATTACGAGACAGAAATTTCATAGAAATGATATCATCTGAGCACCTACAGTGTTACACAATACAGCTTCACATGCCAAATATCCGTGCATGTTCTGCTTTATTTAATTATTTAAGGCCTTGTAACTGACAATTACATAACCCGGTTTGTAAAACTAAAGGCGGGCACATGCAGGCTCCCATTGTGGAGTGGAGCGTCCTTTCTAGAACAACGTAAACACTCTGTGAATGTTTCCCAGTAGGTAAAGGCAGGGACGCAGCAGGCAACACCTGTGCTCTGTTTGGCTGAGGTGAAGCAGGGATGGGATTGGTGGAGGTGGTGGGGGCAGAGAGGGAGGGCGACACCATCATGGGTCCTCTCTGCAGCAGTGGATATAGCAGCCAGGATGAAGGAGGGGGGATGGGCAGCAAGCAGAGCTTCACCCTCCCCTTTCATGACTGTATATGAGCATCAGTCCCAGAGAGCAACAGAAGGAAAATGAGGGTGGATGAGGAGAGGCTCTCATCAGTCACCAACAACCTGAGCTGGAGGAGATTTATTTCGAAATGATGCTGCTGCTCAGATTGATGAACCTGAGGAGGTGCTGCAATTACACTCCTGTGATTACAAAGAAACAATATTAAGTAGTTGATGTTCTGGAGATGAACACTTGTACTGTATGATGCATTCAGTCCTGTTGTACTGGATATCATTATATTATGCAGGTGTTCGTGTTATTCTGTGCCGTTCTGACTTATTTTATGTCTACCCAAGGAATCAAGTCCCATCTTTCATTCATTCATTGTTTAGAGGTGGGTTATATGGAGAAAATCTTGTACGACAATATATGTAATTTTCTATCATGGTATTGATGTGTACTGTTGTGGATTTTCTGTAAATTTAATTGAGAAACTGTTTATAGATAACATAACCAGATGAAGATGTCTGTTTTTGGCTAATCAACTGAAATAAATCACTTACAAACCAAAATACTTCATCACATTTCTGCAAAACTCCCGTAAATCCAATAAAACCATAAAGCATTGTGGGATTTCTCTGACCACAGACAAATTAATATCATCTACAATATAAATTGTATTGTCTAGTTGCCCATCCCTACTTTCATTCATTCATTGTCTTTAGCTGCTGATTTCCATTCAGGGTCATGAGGTTCATACTGCACATGCAGTGCTGCTGAATCAACACCCGGCGTTCAGCATACATATTAATCATCATCCTGTAGCTGTGTAAGAGGTACAAGTAATGCGATTGTCCACAGATAAAATATATCAATTGAGCTAACTATACTGCTACCAATACATCCTCTGCTATACACTTATGTGCACACAGTGATGTAACTACAGTAAGTCTGAGGGTTAAAAATATCTATGTGAATCATAACTGGCCCATTTTCATTCAGGTGATAAAGAAGTCATCAGTAATCACCCTGTTCAACTTCATTGTAACCTTATAATGGTTGAAATGGCATGAGGTTAAGTAGTAGCTTTTTATTCTGGCTGTCACAGCTACACTGCACATTAGTTGTGTTTTTTTTTTTTAAGTGTTTTTTTGTGAAATTTTTTGCCTTAATTTGATGCACAGTAGAGAGCTGACAGGAGATGATGATAGACAGACAGGTGTAGCAACAACCTGCGATATCACGGTCACTGTCTTACACCAGTCGGCCAACAGGACTCTCGTCAGTAGCTTTTTATTGAACTTAAATACCACTGTGAACATATACGCTCATATTTTCTCTTTGTGGTATTAATCAGATTCCTGAAATCAACCTGTCAAAGCATATCACACTTGTGTTACTATTCTCATGGGTCAAGGATAAGTCTGTGAATCCAGAGCTAAACTGAAAAGACACTAGATACTGTTAGTAAGGAGTATGTGCTGTATATTAAGTAAGACTAAATAAGTATTCTTATTCTTATTGTCTTTTCTGCATTTTCTGTCTTATTGAGAATGAGGAAATTTATAGCACTCTCATGTTTCTGCATTACAGGAGCTATTCACAAGTTTAGCTGTTGCTACATAGCCAGCGTTAGCATTAACAGCTGTTTATTTACCAGTCTAGAAGAAAAGTTGCAAGTTCAGCATCAAACTTAATTTGTCTGCTTGCTGAAGCTGTGTCCAGCTGTGGAAAGCAATTCTCTTGTTTTGCTTCTATTTCTATCACTTCTTTTCTTCTACTGAAGTTAGCATGCTAACTAGCTAGCTCTGGTCTGGGCGGACCATCTCGTCACTTTCTGATAGTGATTCACTGTAGTGTCTAGTCTGGAAGTTTGGCTGCTCAGAGGGCGTATTATAACATCTTATATTGTAAACACAACAATGGCTGAAGCTCTTGGCAAGACTGGTAAGTAAACAGCTGTTAATGCTAACATTGGCTGAAGCAATAGCAAAGCAAACAGCTTCTTTAAGTACAGGCAGAATGTAGTTAGCCTAGCTTAGCATAAAGACGGGAAGCAGGAGGAAACAGCAAGCTCTGTCCAAAGTTCAGTTTCTTGGTAAACAACAGCTGGTAACAGTGACTGTGCAGCTTCCCAAAGTCTTCCCCAGATTCAGATTTATCATTCCTGTACAAAGAACGAAATCAAACCCTGTGGTGCAGATAAACCGGTTATCTCCAACATGTAACACCCCCTAAAACCAAAAATTGTAATTTTTAAATTTATCTTAATGTTCAGATTAAACAAATGAGACAGACAAAGACATGAGAGAGTTAATTTGCGACCTTTAGAGGTGCTGGTAGGTACATTTTTAAGCCTTATATAGCGGCTACCTGTTTCTCCCAGTTTCCAGTCTTTATGGTAAGATAGGCTACGTATGTCCTGACTCCAGTTCTGCACCTAAAACAAAGATTTGGGAATGACACCGATCTTCTCATTTTACTCATTGCTAGGAATTAAGCAGGTTTCACAAAGTGTTGGCCTTGCTGGTGTGTATTTATGCCTCTCT